ATCATGACAGTATTGAAATAAAGAGTGTGAAGAGTCAGTCTTTGGTAGAACTGATCACAATCTGTGAAACTTTGAAACTGACTAGAAGTAGAAAGAAGTAGAAAGAAGTAGAAAGAAGTACAAAGAAGTACAAAGAAGTACTTGACGCGGACGGTTTGGAACAAGTTTTTCAAGTTTTAGAAAGACATCTGATATTTCCCACCGTGGATCCCGTCGTGAACGCCACATAAACCTGCGATGCCCCACCCTCTGAGGTCACCTGACGCGGCATCGTGGCTGCGATTGGCCGCTGTCAGCTGTCAGTCAACAGACCCAGCACGTGGTTTATAAAAACACGGAGGGCTCTCGGCGGAGACGTTCAGAACCAACATGGTGAACACAGCGTCCGTCTGGGGTCCGGCTCCGCAGCGCAGCCGCTGATCCGAGGACCGTGTGACTCAGCGGGAGATTGAACCGGCGACCCCTGGGTGTCGGTGCGAGAGAGACCCGGGCGGGGGAAGGAGCGGCGAGCAACCGGGCGCGTAGCTCCGTGAAGGCGGCGCGCCGGAGGAGGAGGAAGTGTCCCCGCCTGCTCCACAGCCTCTCCGCAGCGGGCGATCGCAGCCTTGTCCGCGGCCATGGCTGCTCTCGGGAACTCGGGGCCCGCCTCCAGCCCGATGGTGATCCTGGCTCCGAAGACCAAGACGAAGAAGAAGCACTTCGTGCAGCAGAAGGTGAAGGTGTTCCGGGCCAGCGACCCGGTGCTCAGCGTCTTCATGTGGGGCGTCAACCACTCGGTGAGTCGCCGAGCTAACACCGGGCTAACGTTAGCTAGCGCAGTTAGCAGCAGCAGCAGCTCAGCGGGGAGGTGAGGGTGTTTACACCGAATACCTGCGGCTCTGCGGGGGCCTGGGTCGGATCAGTGTCCCGGCACTGCGGGCCACAGACCCCCCGGAGGCCGCCAGGCTCACCACTGTGTTCAATGAGCTTCTTAATCACGGAAACAATCATTGCATTGATAAACATGAATATTATAAAACAGTAATATTCACGTTGGACGTGATGAAGAGGAACCTGTGAAACAATGCTTGTTGTTGTTGTTGTTGTTGTTGTTGTTGTTGTTGTTGTGATCACTTGTTGGAAAGTTGTTTTGTTGATGGTGAATAATCATTGTTTTATAAACATAAATGTTTTCTTAAACGTCTGCAGGTGATCAGTTAAAAATGATTGTTAATGAACAGACGAGCAGCTGAATCTGTCCCCTGAGAAGCAGGAGCCATGAAAGTGTTTTCTCTCTGCAGATCAATGATCTCAACCAGGTGCCTGTTCCTGTCATGCTTCTTCCTGACGACTTCAAAGCCAACACCAAAATCAAAGTCAACAACCACCTCTTCAACAAGTAAGATGTTCCACCGAGTTCATGGAAGAAGCGCCGCTGGTTGAGTTATAAATAAAAAAAAAATACTTGTTTCACTGCCTCTGGTGCTCTCAGGACTTGTTACCAAACAATATTAAATAATAATCAGCTCAGATTGGACGGGTCTTCATTGTTTTAGCTGCGGACGTCCTGCAGGTGTTTGAATGTGTGTGTCCAGGGATGCATGATGCAGGAGTGGAACTTCTCTCTACTCTCACCCCTGCTGTTGAACATGTTTGAATTTTTAAGACTTTTCTCTCAGAGTGTGAACCGTTCGATTGTTTGTGTGGCGGCACAGAAAATGTTGCATCAGCCAACTCCTCCTTCTCCTCACTCTCCCGCCTTCTCTCCCTTTGCAGAGAAAACCTTCCGGGACATTTCAAATTCAAGGAGTACTGTCCTCAGGTCTTCCGGAATCTAAGGGAGCGGTTTGGTATTGAGGATCTGGACTATCAGGTGTGTGATGTACTGATGAACTGCTCAGTGCGTAGACCAACTTGTGTTTTCAATCTCCCTTCAGTGGTTGTAAATAACTATAGGAGCTCCTTTTCCTTAATAATGCCGATCCTTAACGTTAGCGTACAATTGTTTTTAAATGAATCTGATTTTAATATGAAGACGTTTCTCTACTAATCCGTGTGTTTGTGACGCCCAGGTGTCGTTGACTCGCAGCCCCCCATCGAGGAGCGTAGACGACCAAGAGGGTCTGCTCCTCAACTCCTACGACCGAACGCTGGTCGTCAAGCAAATCTCCAGTGAGGACGTCGCAGACATGCACAGCATCCTGTCCGAGTATCACCAGGTGAGGTGTGCATGACGGAACGATAAGTCTGGTGCTGTTTCTTATTAGCTGCTTTCAGACCTGCACTGAAACCCCCTGTTTTGCACCCAAGGCCGAAACTAAGAAAAACCCAAGCGGATACAAATACCTCCGGATGAAAAAGAGAAGCCGTACACGTAGAAAGATGAGAGTCAAGAGCTTCTGGTGATAAGAGCCTCTGTCTGTGTCGAATATGTGACCTCACAGCTAAATCTTTATGTTACACCCTGCCTCCGCCTGCTGCACCACCCCTCACCTGAACGCTCTGGAGAATCTCCAGGATTCTCTGGACCTCCCTGTGGGTGAAATGTTGTAGCACCACCGAGCGCAGACGACGGCGCAACCACTCTTTTTGTTTACAGGTGTTCATTTCTACACGTCTCTGTTCATGTCAACAGTCGCACACGTGTGTAGCAGAGGTGACACAGTTTCCCCTGTTTTATTTGGTTTTATGACACATTTGCCGCCCAGACCTGTGTCACTGTTCACTCTGAGTCAGGCGGATTCCTCAAAAAAGTGGCTCTCACTTCAGGCTGCAAAAGTCACTGAGTAAACTTTTGGCTGCTCTGAGCTGTGAGAGGAATGTGTGGCCTGTGGTTACACAGCCTACACGGAGCTGAGAGGGAGTCGAGGAAAATGGAAGCTCTGTTTCACAGCGTTTTCTCTTTTGTGTATTTATTTAGTTGAATGAACTCATTGTTGTCGGAGCGACTTCATAGATCAAGACAGTTTGCAGGTTACACTGGCTTCTTTAGTTTTCAACATCCTGCTCGTCCAGCCTGTTTCAGGGGACACTGAATGAGGCCAGTCTGAAGTGAGAGTCTATTTTAACTTCTGAGTGCGACTGACAGTCTAACCTGGATAGACTCACTAATTGATTTATATTCTACGTGACCTTTAGATGCGGCGCTCGATACGAGGACCTGTGAATGAGTCGTATTCTCTTATTTGTATTTTATTCTTTTTAGAATGCACATCGACAATAAAGCACTTCTCTGTGGTTCCCTCCCTGCAGCACATCGTCAAGTGTCATGGCAGCACCCTGCTGCCACAGTTCCTGGGCATGTACCGGGTGGGCGTGGACAGCGAGGAGACGTACCTGATCGTCATGAGGAACATGTTCAGCCACAGACTGGTGGTGCACAGGAAGTACGACCTGAAGGTGAGAGGAGGAGTCTGAGCTTTATTTGTATTTTTTTTTTTTATTATATCCTGATTTTATTGTGTTTTATTTGATTCACTCCCTTGACTTCGACTTTGTACTGTTTGTATGTGAAGTGTATGAGCCATGATTTTCACAGCTTTGTTCCTGCAGGGCTCTCTGGTGGCTCGTGAAGCAAGTGACAAAGAAAGGGTGAATTCAAACATCTCTCCTAATAGCATTTTATCTGACAATGATCTGTGCAGCCGCCTCCTCTTTATTTAAAAACGTCCTGCTGAAGACAACGTGCTTGTGTCTCAGGGTAAAGAGCTTCCTACCTTCAAGGACATGGACTTCAGGAACAACATGCAGAAAGTTTACGTGACCGAAGAGCAGAAGGAGAAGTTCATGGAGAAGCTGAACAGAGACGTGGAGGTGGGTGACTTGTTTCAATGCATTCCTGTTGCAAAAATCAACCACATGGTGGCGCCATCTGCACAGTAGGGCTGCCCAAACTATTGACTGTACTCGAGCATTAGTCCCACGAGGTCCTGACAGTTTGAAACACACAAAAAAAGGATAGTTTCATCTCTATATTAACAAACAACCATTTCCTAATGTCCTCAGTTTCTGGTGAAGCTGAAGATCATGGACTACAGTCTGCTCCTCGGCATCCACGATGTGGGCCGAACTGAACGGGAGGAGGAGGAGGGTGAGGAGGTTTCCAACGAGGAAGAACCGGACGCGGAGAACGGCCTGGCGATGGGCCCCACGGTGGGATCCTATGGTACTTCTCCAGAGGGAATCGCTGGTTACATGTCCTCCTGCAAACCTCTGGGGCCCGGAGAGTTCGACCCGTATGTGGACGTGTACGCGATCGGGAGCTGCGCAGGTGAGCAGGTGTTGAATAGTGTGGAGCATGATGATGATGATGATGATGATGATATCGTTATCATCATATCGTTCGAATAACGCTGACTGTTTTCAGGAGCTCCTCAGAGGGAGGTTTACTTCATGGGCCTGATCGATGTCCTCACTCAGTACGACACCAAGAAGAAAGCTGCTCATGCTGCGAAAACCGTCAAACACGGGGTGAGTCACACGGGGGAGAGAC